AATGCTGAATCAGTTACCACTAACCAGGAATGTATATACCAAATGCTTCATGTACTTGCCAAAATTGTTTTTTGCCAATCTGATGACTACTGTATTAGTCCGTTCTTAAGCTGCTAGAGGGACATATCAGAGACTGAGTAATTTATAATGGAAAGAGGTTTAATTGGCTCACAGTTCTGCACGGCTGGAGAGGCCTCAGGAAACTTACAGTCATGGCAGAAGGGGAAGCAAAAACATTCTTCTTCAAATGGTGGCAGGAAAGAGAAGTGCTGAGCAAACTGGGGAAAAGCCCCTTGTAAAACCACCAGATCTCGTGAGAACTCACTATCACAAGAACAGCTTGAAGGGACCACCCCCATGATCTAATCACCTACCATAAGGTCTCTCCTCAACACGTGGGGGTTACAATTCGGATTACAATTAAAGATGAGATCTGGGTGGGGACTCAAAGCCAGACCATATCAACTATGAAACTCTATCTCCTTGTAGTTTTAATCTGCATTTCCCAGATTAGTAACAGGGTGGAATACCTTTTCATTCATTTATATCTGTATATGGATATATAGAATATGAATATATAGATATATACGAACATACAGCTATGAATATATACCTATCTATATACCATTTGGGTTTCCTCTTCCATAAAGCATCTATTGAAGCCTTGTGCCTATTTTTCTATGAGTTTTCTTAATGATTTGTAACGTGTGGATACTAATACTTATATGTGATACAAATATCTCTCCCCAGTAGATGACCTGTCTTTTCAATCTCTTTATTAGTTGTCTTTTAATAAGAAACTTCTTTACTTTCATATGGTGGAATTTATTAACCCTTTTCTTTATGGTCTGCAGTTTGTTTTATAGTTTTTGCCTCCTCAACTCACCAAAAATGTATACACGTATTTTTTATCCAATTTCATCTTTCACATATAAACATAAAATTGTTCCAGCACCATTTATTAAAAACTTCAGGCCGAGCGTGGTGGCTCACGCCTGTAAGCCCAGCACTCTGGGAGGCCAAGGCGGGCAGATCACGAGGTCAGGAGATCGACACCATCCTGGCTAGCCTCGCTCTACTAAAAATACAAAAAATTAGCCGGGCGTGGTGCCGGGCGCCTGTGGTCCCAGATGCTTGGGAGGCTGAGGAAGGAGAATGGCGTGAACCCAGGAGGTGGAGCTTGCAGTGAGCCGAGATCGAGCTGCTGCACTCCAGCTCCCGCAACAGAGCAAGATTCTGAGATTCCGTCTCAAAAAAAAAAAATTCATTCTTCCTGTTAGAAGAACCAATCCACCATCAGTCCTTAGCGTCCCTGCACACTCTCATCTGTTAAGAATGCAAGGCCTTTTATCTGGGCCATTTCTCAATTTTTGTCTGCTGCAAGCAAACCTGAGGTATGATTTAACATCTCCTACTAAAGAACAGGCTAACTTCCAACATCTCTTCTCTCATCCATGAGATACTGAGAAAAAAAATTTTTTTAATTTCCATGTGATTAAAAAAGTTTTTTTTTGGTTACCTATTTCTAACCTAACTGAGTTGGTATTACAATAGTGTATAAGGTATCAATCTCTAAAATTTGTTGAAACTTGTTTCATGGCCCAGTACATGATTAATTTTCATAATGATTCACTTGATATTTCTATGGTGTGTGGATGAAATATAAGTCCATTGGATGAAGCTTGTTAACCGCACTGTTTAAATTTTCTATATTCCTACTAATCTTTTTTTGGGATCTGCTTTCTACATCAAATACTTAGGCAGATATATTACAATCTCCTGCTATACTGGTAAAATTTTTCAGTTTTTTCCTTGTACATCTGTTAACTTTTTGCTTCATTTTGTGGCTATGGTTATTAATTGCATGTAACTTTAAAACATATATACTCCTACCAAATTAGCCATTTCCCATTATGTATCAATTCTTTTTGTCTTTAAGTCTATTTGAAATGATGTACTAGCTTTCTTCCCATTAATATTAGCCAGGCAGCAACCTAAGCGTCCATCAATGAAAGGAATGGATGTGGTACGTATACACAATGGAGTACTCTTCAGCCATGAAAAAGAATGACATCAGGCCAGGGGTGGTGGCTCACGCCTGCAATCCCAGCACTTTGGGAGGCAGAGGTGAGCAGGTCATTTGAGGTCAGCAGTTCAAAATCAGCCTGGCCAACATGGTGAAACCCCATCTGCAACCAAAAAAAAAAAAACTCACAAAAATTAGTGGGGCATGGTGGTGTGTGCCTGTGGTCCCAGCTACTTGGGAAGATGACGCAGGAGAATCGCTTGAACCTGGGAAGTGAGGTTACAGCGAGTTGAGATCACACCACTGCACACCAGCCTAGGCAACAAAGGGAGACGACTCAGTCTCATAAAAAAAAGAAAGAGACCCAATCATTTGCAACAACATGGAAGGAACTGGAGATCATTATGTTAAGTGAAATAAGCCAGGCACAGAAAGACAAACATCACATGTTCTCACTTATTTGTAGGATCTAAAAATCAAATGAATTGAAATCATGAACATAAGAGTAGAAGGACAGCTACCAGAGGCTGGGAAAGGTAGTGGGGGATTAGTGGGAGGGAGGTGGGGGTGGTTAATGAGTACAAAAAAAAAAAAAAAGAATAAGACCTACTATTTGATAGCACAATAGGGTGACTATAATCAATAATAACTTATTTGTATATTTTTAAATAACTTAAAGAATGTAATTAGATTATCTGTAACTCAAAGGATAAATGCTTGAAAGGATGGATACCCCATTTCCCAGGAGGTGCTTATTTCACATCGCATACCTGTATCAAAACATCTCACGTACCCCATAAATATATACACCTACTATGTACACACTAAAATTTAAAAAAATAAAAAAAAAATTGCCAGGTGTATGTTTTTCCATCATTTTACTTTCAACATTTTTGTTTTCTTGTAGTCTCTATTCTATATCCCATATAAATGAATATTTTTTTAAAGGCATGCATGTATTTGGATTTACTTCTACCATCCTTTTTGGTATCCCACTCTTTCCATGTTAATTTTTATCTTTCTTTTCTTGCCTTCTTTGGTATGATTCTTTTTTCTCATTCCATTTCTTTTAATCCTCTATTAGTGTGGAAGTTATATACATATTTCTATCATTGAAATGTTACCTTATAATTCTTGATATATACTTCTAAAATTCCAGTTATCTTTAGTCTGCTCCTAAACAATAAATAATAAATATATACATACATATATATATATATATATTTTTTTTTCTTTTTTTGAAACAGAGTCTTGCTCTGTCACTCAGGCTGGAGTGCAGTGGCACAATCTCAGCTCACAGCAACCTCCGCCTCCTGAGTTCAAGCGATTCTCCTGCCTCGGCCTCCTGAGTAGCTGATACTACAGGCGTGCACCCCCACATCCGGCTTTTTTTCAAAAATATTTTTGGTAGAGACTGGATTTCACCATGTTGGCCAGGCTGGTCTCGAACTCCTGACCTCAAGTGATCTGCCCACCTCGGCCTCCCAAAGTGCTGGGATCACAGGCGTGAGCCACTGTGCCCAGCAACAATAAAAAGATCTTTACATGCTAGCGCCAATCACCTTCTCCTTGTTTATAATATAATATAGCTTTTTCTTTTTCGAGACGGAGTCTCGCTCTGTTGCCCAGGCTGGAGCGCAGTGGCACGATGTTCGCTCACTGCAAGCTCTGCCCCCCACCGGGTTCATGCCATTCTCCTGTCTCAGCCTCCTGAGGAGCTGGGACCGCAGGCACCTGCCACGATGCCCAGCTAATTTTTTTGTATTTTTAGTAGAGACGGGGTTTCACCGTGTTTGCCAGGATGGTCTCGATCTCCTGACCTCATGATCCACCCGCCTCGGCCTCCCAAAGTGCTGGGATTATAGGCGTGAGCCACCGCGCCCACCCAATATAGCTTTTTCTTAACTTCATAAGATGCTATTACTATTTATGCAGTCCATTTTTATTCACCCATATAATTGTCACTCTCTTTCATCGTTTCTTCTTAAATCTCAGATTTTCTACCTATGATCATTCACTTCTGCTTAAAAAATAGTCTGTCAGTGAACTTTTACATTTTGTTTGTATGAACATGTCTTTATTTTGTCCATGATCTTGAAAGATGTTTTTGCTATAGAATTCTACACTGTTATTTTGTCTCACATATCATTTCATAGTCCATTACTATTTCCATTACTGTTATCGAAACCTGATAATCCTTTGGAGGCAATGTCTTTTCTCTTAAAAATGTTCCCTTTATTAACCTCTTTTGTATTTTCCAATTTCTTGTCTATATTGTGCTCTAAATTTCCTAAGATTTACCTTTCATTATGCTAACTTTTCAATATATTTGCTTTTATACCTATTCACTGAATTTTAATTTCAATTACTATTTTCATTTCCAGAACTTCTGTTTCTGTTTCAACATGTTTGCTCTTTTTATTTTTAAGCCTCTTACTGAACATATTAAATGTATTTATTTTCTATTTTCCATCTGATAATTCCAAAATGTGAACTATTTGCAGATCTGACTCAAATGATTCTCTTATATTGTGCCTTTTTCCTTGGATGGTCTGCAGTTTTTATTATAAGCCACTTATTTTCATTAGAACTTTACCAATGGGAATTCTTTGATAATGATGATTACACGTTAGGTTTTATCAGGCCCTTGGGAGTAGTAACAGCCCAGGATCATTTTAAATTCTTAAGGTTTAGTGTGAATTCATGCTGCAACTAGTGTGAGAACTGGTTTGTGGTAGCACATTTTCAGTGACATTTTTTCGATTTACAGCAATATTCGAGAAAAAAATTTACCTGTAGAAACCCTGGGGGCATAAAGGGAAAGAATTTCTATATCACTCTTACAAAAGTGCAGTACAATGGGGCTCCAAATTAATGAGGAAGACTATTTCCTGCTAAATGCTCCACCCTGATTGGGTCTACGCTTTGCTTCCTGATCCCTGAGCCCCACAAAGCCAAGAACAGAGAAGCTCACCTGTATGGCAAATATCCTCAAGGCAATAGCCAGGTTCAGAACTCAGCTTGCCCTAAGTACTCTCCCCTTTGTGCCAGAGCACTGATGCATTTAAGATTTTATTTTATCCAGCATTTTAGGTTGTTTTCAGCAGAAAGCTGAAGGTACTTGGTACCTTGATCCAGGTACGTGGTTCACCATGCTGCTGGAAACAGATATTTACATTAATTTCTGATGACAGTGTCACTAAAGTACATTATCCTTTATTTTAGCACATAATTTCTTATGTTTTCCTTTCTGCCTCAGCACACTTGAGAAGTTTGACATACTTCTAGCAAGAGTTGCTCATTATGACAACGAATCCCAATTGGAAGTAGGTAAAGTACATATCCCTGGAGGTAAATGATTAATGGATACACTCTACAGGTCACAAGTGTTGCAAATTTTCATTTTGTGCTTTCATTTCAATAATAAAAAATGTATTTTGCCATTTTCAAAGAGAAAAGTGAGAGACATTTTTAAAGAAAACTGCTCTAAGAACTAAAGTTGGAGATTCTCAAAATGAGATTTTTTTTTCTTTAAAAGAGATCCATATTATTTGAGAGAGGCACTGCTCCATACTGAAAGGTCTCACATTGCTATATTTAAGTTACCAAACAAACCTTACTTCCATATCTTAGTCCTCAATGGTACTGTATGTAGTCAATGTACCTGATTATACAGGTCTGCGATTCCTTATCTAAAAACCTTAGGGCCAAATATATTTCAAAATTCAGAATTATTTTGGATTTCAGAAAGGTAATACGATATTTATATATATACATATATTTCTCTCACATCCTAGTGAAGTCTAAGGCAATACCCCAAAATAAATATGTTAATATTTCTGTGGCAAAATGTATATTCACACTAAGAAGGGGGTAAAGACCATCAATACCCTTATATCCACTCAGATCATGTTTTACCACTACAAGGGTTAAGAAAACTTTTGGTTTCCGGAGGATTTTGGATTTCTAAATCATGGAAATGGACTTACCGATTTATTATCTGTTACAGAATGGAAAGCCAGGTAAAATTCATTAGAATTTCACATACCACCACAGATCTGAATAAAATCTTAATAATGGTAAAGAGCTCACCTTAAGGGACATGAATTTAATGCATAAACTTTCTGATTCCCCCACCCCCACAAATACTTATAAGTCTCTTCTTTGTCTATCTGTGGTTTAACAGTTGAGGATACAGAGTAAGTAACCTCCTGGTAAGGAAATGTATTATGAATTACTATAATGTCAGAAGTACCTAAATGTACATAGGAATTTTAAATATAGAAATTTAAATCTATATAAAATGTATATAGGAATTTTAAATGCTAAAGTATTAGCTATATTGGACCATGATTATAGTATCTCTGCATCTAGCAATGTAGATAAAAGGTACAGAAAGAGATGTATAAGAGATATACTATTCAGAAGAACCTCTTCTGGTTCTTTTCTAAGAGACTTCAAATCAGAAACTTCTTGCATCTACTACATGCATGGCTCTGTTGTCATAGTTAGAGTCTATGGTAAATATTATATAATTTATAAAATGAAAGTCTTCTTCCTTTAGAAAGAAATTAACATACATAATACTAGGAGATATTGGGCAGAAACTTGAGGAGGCAATATATTTGAAGTTGAAATTGTGAAGGATAAGGAACTCCATTAATTTAAAAATTCGAAAAGTAAAATCTAAATCATTTATCTTGATATTAATTACATCTGGAGACAGTGAAGCAAGGGATTATCAGCATGAGCTGTGAAGAAATACTGCTTGGGTTCAAATCCCAGCCCTGCCTTTCACTAAGCTATGAGACTTATCAATTTAGAATTATACTACTACTTACTTTCGTAAGATTCTTAGTACAAATTAAACAACAAAAATAAAGCACTTAGAACAGAGGTACAGAGTAAGTATACAATGAATACTAGCTGCAGAGCTGGTAATGATGGTTATTACTATTACAAATTTTAAAATTATTAGCTTTCTTCCTAAAGTAGATGTATAAATATTATAACCTCCAAATATAAAGCTTAGGGTACAAAATCAGTAACAAGGCTTTATATTTTGAAGTTTTGAAATTAAAAAAATATTTGTCTAGTGTTAAGGATAGATCTCCCTCACGACCAATGATATCCGCTGACAAGGTGGCCAAATGAGATCAGGACTTCTTGGAAGAGTGCCACAATATGTGTTTCATAATTTTCTTTATTATTCCACTTTCACTTCCTTATTATATTTGTCTCCATGCACTTTGCTTGCAGATATTTTGCCAATCATGCAACATGATAGAACCCTTCTTCTAATCCTTGTAGTTTAAATAATCCAAAAGAACTTAAAATACATAAACTTTTAATATTTTGTTATTAATGGCCAAGAAAGGTCTAAATTACTTTATTAACAGCTTTGTCTGATGCCAACATTCTCACACACACACAAAAGAATTTATGAACAATAAAAATAACTATACTACCTCTGAAATAATCATGAGTTTTCACTATTAATGCCATTCTCAATAATAAAAAGAAAAGACAGCAACAAATGTAATGGCATCATCAAAACTGGACAAGAATATAAATATCTCCTAGTTACATTCATTTGTATCCAACTAATTTAGAATGTACTATTCTGTTTCAGAATTCTTAAGTTAAAATACTCAAAATAATAATTTTCTATCCATTTTGAGATAATACTTTTAACAAATGAGGCAGATCTATGAAAAATATATAAATAACATGGTTAATTCCAGCCTAGCAACTACAGTACATTAAAAATACAGGTATACGAATATAAAATTTATTTAATGACCAAAAAAAATCCAGCTCAGTTAAGAAATTCTCATGAACATAAAGGTTCTGGGTTTTTTTCTTCTGGTTCTGTCACCCAGGCTGGAGTGCGGTGGCATGATCATAGCTCACTGCAACCTCAAGCTCTTGGGCTCAAGTGATCCTCCCACCTCAGCTCCCTGAGTAGCTGGGACAACAGACGTGTGCCACCACACTCAGCTAATATTCTTATTTCTGTAGAGGCAGGGTCTCCCTATGTTGCTCAGGCTGGTCTCAAACTCCTGCGCTCAAGGATCCTCCTGCCTTGGCCCCTCCCTAATTGTAAGGATTACAGGTGTGAAACACTGTGCCTGGCCAACATAAATGATTTTTAGTGTACTCTTTAATAACTTACATACGTCCACAGCAAATAAAGCATAGCTGCAATTAACTCGGTTCGATTAATTATGGGTTCAATACCTCTAAAAAGTGTTTTTAAAGGTTTATTATTGAATCTCTTCATGCCACATTTTCAATTTTATTTAAGTTTCTATCTTACGTATACTATAGTTCTTAGGGTCCTAAATCTATGTTGTTTCTAAATAATTGTTTAATTTTTTAAAATTTATATTTCATCCATTATATTGTCTAAGAATTCTTACTGGGAAATAAAATATAGCACTGAGAAAAGACTCAGATCAAAACAAAACACGATAGTCAATTCCTGATAGCCCAAAGCAAACTTAGGCAAATTTAGAGTTTCCTTGTACCCTTGGGCCAGTCACTGAATATCTTTCCTTATTACCTCTTTGGGTAATGAAGAACATCAATTGTGCTGTTTCTAATAAGCTTTACTACATGGAGTGAAAAAGAACCATGCCATCTGTTATTTCTACTAGAACTGGAAAGAAGTTGAAACCAACACTTGAATAACTGTACCAAGAGGCCTGAGGAAGACTGTAGTCAGTCCCAGGCTTTAAGCAAGAAATAATTAACCTCAAACTATATGGCTGTATCTAGCCTACAGACAAAATTGTTTCTCACCATTTTGACCCTACTACTCCAGCTTCTTACTAAAAATCAGTCCCATTAAATACTTAAACATGTGAATCCTGAAGCATATAAAAATAGGATTTTTTGGTTACACTTAATTTAAAAGTTTACAATCTCTAATTCTTTTTAGGTGGTCTTAAGATATTTGGAAACTTTAACTGCATGTCATCAGCAAATAAATCAATTTCACAAATGTCAAAAGAGCAACCAGAAAGCAGGCTTTCTTATCCAATCACTCTCAAGTAACCAATATTAAAAAAACAAATTGACTTAGGCTAAGATAACCCTACTAAAGGGAAAGAGATAGTCATTCACTGAATTCAGATCACTAAACAATGTTTTTCACAGAAAAAGAAATGTCTACTACAGAGCTATGGCAAAGCCCAGAAATCCAAATGTTTGTCAATTTTATGGAAACTGCCCAGCAATTAGTTCAATTCTTCACTGCAATTTATTTAAGCTTTGCCACTAAGATTTAATATATAATCAAATAAATTTCCATTCAATTTTCCTCTCCTTTCCTCACCTCCAATATTCTTAGGAATGAACCATATTTATTAATTATAATAAGGTACCATTTCTCAAGCCTAGAAGCCACAGCATTGTATTTCCCAGATTTATTCAAAAGTATAATCAGATTACAATAAACTTGACATAATATATTTTAGCAGTTTATAGATACTAATATCTTCTAAATCTGAAGACTTCCTTATTTTTAAAAAGGAAAACAATTTTTTATTTTTTTTCCTTGTAATTAAGGTTGGTTCTCACTCAAAAAAGGAAAACAATTTTCTTCCTGTTAATTTGTCGAGTCAGTAGCAAAAATAAAGTCTAGCATTTACTGAACGCACATTATCTGCAATGCACTGCGTAATAAACTTAACAGCCACTACAGCTTTAAAGATATTCCATAATCTCAGAATATCTAAAAACATTGGTAAACCTCATGTAAGAAAAAAAAAAGGCATATAAAAGGAAGGAACTCACAACCTTTCCTACTGATTTAACAATACATTTTTGTTTTGATTAAGATTCTCCATTATAAATGTCTATCCCCATAAAATCCAATACTGAGATTACAGGGTAAAATCAAATCCCAAATGTACTGCAAAAAGATGTATATTTGATTATAATGCTACATGATGTCATGCATCCAGGAGAACTGAAGCATTATGGTCTCTTAGGGATAAAACTGCCTCTTGGTCATAGATTTAGGTGACACAGCATGTGATCCATTGTCTCTAAACAAAAAATGTGTGCAGCTGCATTTTCTAGTCAAGGGGGATGGGAGTGTAGAATACAAAAGGGTCAAAGATCTGTCTCGTGGAGAAATTGCTTCTCAAATGAAAGTAAAAAATGAAATAAAAGTGAGTAGGGGGAAACCTTTCTCCAACTCATACTAAAAGCAGATACCCTTAAAACTAAAACAAAATAAAAAAAATATGTGTGGCAACCTTCCACTGAATTCACTTTTCTCCTATACTAACTTGCCCAGATTCAATTTGTAAACCATGTGTTTAGATGCCACTTCTATTTAAATATTAATAATTTTCTGTCAATTGTACATAGTATATAGACTTTCTCTACACAATGTTGCAGTATTTGTCTCAAAAAGAAAAGTGTAGTCATTCGTCCCTTTCTTGGGGAAGTTAAAATGAACCAATAACCTACAAACCTGATATTTTCTGCATAAAGACCAAATACATTAAAATGAGTCCCTAGCACATAATCCTCCTCCTTTTCACAGAAACACCGATTTCAAAAAGCAGTACCACAAAAGATCTAAATTGAGTGAAAACTGTTTTAAGAAAAATGGTTATTTTTGGCCGGGCGCGGTGGCTCAAGCCTGTAATCCCAGCACTTTGGGAGGCCCAGACGGGCGGATCACGAGGTCAGGAGATCGAGACCATCCTGGCTAACACGGTGAAACCCCGTCTCTACTAAAAATACAAAAAACTAGCCGGGCGAGGTGGCGGGCGCCTGTAGTCCCAGCTACTCGGGAGGCTGAGGCAGGAGAATGGCGTGAACCCGGGGGGGCGGAGCTTGCAGTGAGCCGAGATCGCGCCACTGCACTCCAGCCTGGGGCACAGAGCAAGACTCCGTCTCAAAAAAAAAAAAAAAAAAAAAAAAAAAAAAAATGGTTATTTTTAATAAATGTTAAAAAAAATTGGTGACTAAATAATTCATAAACTTCTATTATCTCAAACATAGCACTTACATACCCTACACGTTACTAAATATGACAAAAAAGAACCACTACTAGCTCTTAGAGTAAATCTGACTTAGAAAACCCATCTACTTAAACTTCAGGATTGCTATCAATGCCACATCTAAACACAACTAAGTTAAAAGCAGAAAAAAACTGACAGCACAGAAATCAAAGAACAAAAATATAAGGATAAAAACATACTTACCATCTAGAATCAGAAGTAATATCACCTGTACTATAAGTCATACAGTGACCAATTATTAGCCAACCAGCACTTTGGTTTTTTGACAGACTTGTACAGTCAGCCCTCTCCATCTGTGGGTTCTGTATCCATGGATTCAACCAACTGCACATCAGAAATATTTGGGGGGAAAAAAAGGTTGGTTGTATCTGTAACGAACAGATATAGACTTTTTTTTCTTGTCATTATTCCCTAAACAATACAGTATAACAACTATTTTGTAGTATTTACATTGTATTAGGTATTATAAGTAATCTAGAGACTTAAAGTACAGTATATGGAAGGAAGTGGGTAGGTTATATGCAAATACTACACCAGGTAATACAAGAAACTTGAGCATCTGTGGATTTTGCTATCTTCAGGAGGTCCCAGAATCAATCCCCCATGATATTAAGGGATGACTATATTGACTTGAAAAACAACACTGAAAGGAACAAAGTTATAGAAACCTAAAAAGTCAACAGATCTAAAGTCCTAAAGGACAAATTTGATTGGCATTTGAATATAAACAAGCAGTCTTGACATCAAAATTTGTTTATGTATAATATTTCAATGCCTTGAATATAAGTCATAGTCATGCAGTAAATCATCTATAGCCAATTGAATTGCTCCACTGAAAAGAAGCATCTTTTAAAAGTATATTCGTGATCAGAAATAAATCTAATAAATGCAGACAATATCTTACTAACAGCCCTAATGTCAAATTTGGAAAGCAAGAGTAAAACTTAGGACTCTATACTGATTGGTTTAATATATTGATTTTATATGTAATTCTAAAAGCAAAAATATAATTAACACAAAATTAAGTTGATTTTAAATAGGGTTACATTAACCTCATACGTACCCTGACTTAAAAATATATTTCTGCTAAAAAATTAGTAAAGATATTCATGTTATTAAAGACTATCTCCAGCTGGGCACGGTGGCTCACACCTGTAATACCAGCACAGCACTTCGGGAGGCCAAGGCAGGTGGATCACCTGAGGTGGGGAGTTTGAGACCAGCCTGACCAACATGAGAAACCACGTCTCTACTAAAAATACAAAATTAGGTGTGGTGGCGCATGCCTGTAATCCCAGCTACTTGGGAGGCTGAGGCAGAATTGCTTGAATCCAGCAGGCAGAGTTTGTGGTGAGCCAAGATCGCGCCATTGCACTCTAGCCTGGGCAACAAGAGTGAAACTCCGTCTCAAAAAAAAAAAAAAAAAGACTATATCCAGATCATTTTAGAAAGTAATACTTTCTAAAATAAATGTTTCTAAATAAACTTACATGGAATATAACCTAAATTCTAAAAAGCCATTATCAACTGCAGCTACATATAGCTAAGTAGCCTAGTGGTCACTACTAGCAGACATGGTTAGCAAGTGAGTGGATGTTAGTTCTATTTGCTACTATAAATACTGGAAAAGAAAATGACTATTTTTTTTTCTTTTTGGAGACAGATTAATGTTTGCAGTATTTTGTTTTGCTTTTTTTTTTTTTTTTTTAAACCTGTTGAGTTTGAGATGTTTGTGAGATATCCAAGTAGGACAGGCATTTGGGATATACATGATCTAAAGTTCAGGAAAAAGGTCTGGTCTGGAGATAACTTTTGGAGTCATTAAATCTGAAGTATCTCTCAAATCTGTCCACTTTTCTCCATTTTCACTGT